GCGTGATAAAAAATGTATTATGTTTGAAGACGCATGTTTAGTGATATACTTGTAATTTCGAGTTTCACACAATACTGAAAGGAAGCATGTTTTCATATTGTCCATGCCATTAATGCAAGATCTTCCAAGACATGGAATAAAGTAAGATAATTGAAAAAGGCCGTAACGTTTTTGTTGGAGAAGAGAGATATTTGTTGATTTGAAGAATATTTGTTTCCATAATTTGTTATTTTTTCCGTGATTGTCTCATTTTTAATAAAGCAACCTTGTTGTAATATGACTATATATATGTATCATTGTAACATTTTGGATATAAGTGAATATAGTCTTCTCTCTTCTCCCGTGGATGTTGGTTTGTCACATTGGCGTCGAATCACTTATTTTTTTGTGTTCTTTCTTATATATTGAATTCTTAATGGTATGAGAGCGGATGTATTGAGCCGGCCAACAGTTCGAAAAAAAGAAGAAGGCAGAAACGAATTTTTTTCTCTTTAGATTTTTTTCAGCTTTCCGCGACCTCCACGAAAACGGCTTTATCTTTCAAATCGTAACTCGGAATTGCTCAAGGTCGATGCCTTTGGATTCGTATCGTCTGTATCTAGCTAACCACCATTCGGGCTATTTTCGGTAACGTTTGGTGGGTCAAAATCGCTCTCAAAGTCAATTGTTCGTGTTTTTTCAATTTTTTTACAGTTCGAAGTTTCTTTTCGGTTTGTCGCTGCATTTACAATGACTGAGAAAGCCATTAATCCATCTATAGTGATGGAGAATGATGTTAATCCTGGATGGAAGTTATCTACCGTTCTCTTAAATGGTATAAATTACATACCGTGGTCAAGAGCTGTGACATTATCTCTTGGTGGAAAGAAAAAGTTGAGTTTTATCGATGACACTTCTACTTGTCCAGATTCTGTAGATCCAAAGTACGAAGGGTGGATTTCGAATGATCAACCCGTTAGGTCTTGGCTTCTAAATTCAATGGAAGCACATATTGCTGAAATCTTTGCCTTTTGAGATTCGGCAGAAGAATTGTGGAATTCAGTTGAAGAGCTTTACGGAAATCAAAACAACGATGCTAGAATCTTTAAGTTGAAATGGGAAATTGCTACTGCTGAGCAAGGGGATAAGACATTCATAGAGCATCTTGGATATCTTAAGAAAAAGTTGGACGAATTGAGCATGTCCCGCCCGCATACAACCAATGCAAAAATCTTGTTGAAAAGGGCAGAAGAAGATAAGATATTTTATTTGCTGAGTAGTTTGAAGTCGGAGTATGAGAATCTTAAAATTCATATCCTTATAAGTTCTACCACGTCAACCTTCTCTGGTATTCTCGAAGCTTACTTCTCTTCGTGTGCATCAAACATTTGAATACTTGGATTATTGACTCGGGTGCCAATGATCATATGGCAAATGATGCAGCATCTTTAAGTGATTTCTCAAAAACTTCATCAAAACATGCTGTTTCAGTTGCTAATGGTACCTCAGTTCCTGTTTGTGGGTCTGGAAAAATTAATCATTTTTATGGTCTTCCAGTACAGATGCACTTGTTATTCCTTCATTTCCAACTCAACTTCTTTCTGTCGGAAAAATAACTAACTCCTTCAGTTGCAATGTTATTTTTTCTCCTAATGATGTTGTGTTTCAGGATCGAATTTCGGGGAAGAAGATTGGTGAAGATGTCTACTCACATGGACTTTATCTCTTCAAACCATTCAGTGTAACTTCTCTTAGTAGTACTATGCTAAAAAAGCATATCGTACATCAAGGATTTGGGCATCCTTCTAATTGTGTATTATCTTTTTTATTTCCATCTATGTCATTTGGGACACACATTTGTGATGTTTGTCAATTTTCCAAACAAGTTCGTCTACCATTTAATAATTCTTCATATATGTTAAACCTTTTGAGTTAATCTATTCTAATTTATGGGGGTCCATGTCGAATTGATTCATATGATGGTTTTAAATATTTTGTATTGTTTATTAATGATTATTCCTGTGCTACTTGGATCTATTTTAATTTTAGATTCTTACTTCAAATGGGACGAAAGTTACTAAAAGTATCGTACCACGCCACTCAATTTGATAGCAAAATAAAGATTTTTCGTGCGGATAATGGGACTGAATTTGCCAAGGGTCCCCTTCCTGTCTTTTTTCGCAATGAAGGCATTATACATCAAACTAGTTGTGTTGATATGCCCCCAACAAAATAGAGTAGTCGAAAGGAAAAATCTACATATTTTGGAGACTACAAGAGCTCTATGCTTCAAATGAATATTCCGAAGAAATTTTGGTCACATGGAGTTTTAACAGCTGTGTACTTGATAAATAGGCTTCCAATTCGTGTAATCCATTTTCAGTCACCATTGGAAGTCTTAAAAGGGAGAAAGCCTGATGTGTCTCACCTTTGAGTATTTAGTTGTGTTTGTTATGTGCACCATCAGAGCTTGCATCATGATAAATTTGATCATTGTTCCATTCGGTGCGTCTTCTTAGGATATTCTTCGACAAAAAAGGGATATACATGCTATGATCCTCAGTCCCAGAAACTATTTGTATCACGAGATGTGAGATTTGTTGAGAAAAAAAACCATATTTTTCGGCTCAGAGTTCGAACAAAATTTTATCTCAGGGGGAGAATTTGACAGATTTGTTTCCACTTTACACTATATGGACATCTTCTTCTGATATTGCAAGTACAGACGAAATTGAAACCAGAGTATAGACTGGAGGTATAGGAGAAACCAAACAGGATGAAGACAATGGGGACGACAGAAGTCTTTTATCGCCAATTGCTCATGATGTTCCAGAATATGTCAATGTTGTACCAGATACTTCCGAAAAGATTCTTAGAAGATCAAATCGAACATCCAAGGCTCCAGAAAAATTAGAAGACTTTGTTACGTATGAAGCTGTCAGTCATCCTATACAGTCGCTTTATCAACGAATAATTATTACTTCCAGAGAAAAAAAATGATCCATATACCAGGCCTGTGATTGATACCAAAAGCAAATCGTGGAAGCAATAATTGAACGTTTGAAACACTAATTGAATTGAACAATTCGTATTCATTTTCTAAATAAATAATTTTGATAAATAGAATCAAAATATATATACAACCAGGTTTCTACACACACAGACTTTAGGAGATGCTGGAAGAATAATTATACACATATATGCACGAGATATATACATACAAACCAACATATATAAATACGCACGTACAAAATAAAAATTAAAAGAAGAAACAAAAACATAAAGTTTCGGTATAGAAATTAAATTCCGTTTCATTGTCGGTACAAAAGTAGTATTATCTAAAACAAGAGAGAAATCAAAATCCAAAAAATAACTTCACTAATTAATGACCCTCCCAGATGTTTTGTGATAATCAATCTACTATAAATATTGCTTCCAATCCAGTTTTTCACGAGCGAACAAAACAAATTGAAGTTGACTATCATTTTATAAGAGAACAAGTCCAAGCCAAGGTTATTTGCACTCCCTTCATTTGTAGTAGCGAGCAATTGGCTGATATTTTCACCAAAGGCTTATCAGTTTTCAAATTTCATAAGATATTGTCCAAGTTGGACTCTATTGATATTTTCGCACCAACTTGAGGGGAGTGTTGGAGAAGAAAGATATTTATTGATTCGAAGAATGAATGCTAATATTGAAGAAAATATTATGGTATGATTTGAAGAATATTGATTGATGATAATTGAAATGTTTCCATAATTTGTTACATTCTTTTCGTGATTGTCTTATCTTTAATAAGGCAACCTTGTTGTAATATGACTATATATGTGTCATTGTAACACTTTGAATATAAGTGAATATAGTTTCTCTCTTCCCTTATGGATGTAGGTTTGTCACATTGGCCCCGAACCACGTAATTCGTTGTGTTCAATTTGAAGCAAACTTTCTGAACACAAAAACACAACAATAAACACATAAAATAAATAAAACCTATGTTTCCATATCATCCCAGATTTCTCAACGCCACCTAACCTAGGAAGAATATGAAAACAGAGGCAGGCATTCCCATAAACACCTTACAGTATAAAGTTCCAACATAAGAGAGAATCCAAAGCCCTTATCATACATAACCTACTTTAACCTAAGACACCAGCCAAGCCAAGCCAAGCCATGCCATGCCACAGCACCAACAGACTCAATCATTTTACTGCGATGCATCTTCCAAGAACCATTGGATGGCTCATAGAACTGGACCCATTTCGAGGTGGGTTCAACCAAATGTTTTGTGATAATCAATCTACTATACATATTGCTTCCAATCCAGTTTTTCACGATCGGACAAAACACGTTGAAGTTGACTATCATTTTATATGAGAACAAGTCCAAGCTAAGGTTATTTGCACTCACTTCATTCGTAGTAGCGAGCAATTGGTTGATATTTTCACCAAAGGCTTATCATCTCTCAAATTTTATGAGATATTGTCCAAGTTGGGCTCTATTGATATTTTTGCACCAACTTGAGGGGGAGTGTTGGAGAAAAGAGATATTTGATGATTTAAAGAATATTTACTAATATTGAAGAAAATATTATGGTATGATTTGAAAAATATTGATTGATGATAATTGAAATGTTTCCATAATTTGTTACATTGTTTTTGTGATTGTCAAATCTTTAATAAGGCAACCCTATTGTAATAGGACTATATATGTGTCATTGTAACACTTTGAATATAAGTGAATACAGTCTCTCTCTTCTCTTATGAATGTAGGTTTGTCACATTGTCCCGAACCATGTAATTCGTTGTGTTCAATTTGAAGCAAACTTTCTGAACACAAAAACACAACATTAAACACATAAAATAAATAAAACCTATGTTTCCATATCATCCCAGATTTCTCAACGCCACCTAACCTAGGAAGAATATGAAAACAGAGGCAGGCATTCCCATAAACACCTTACAGTACAAAGTTCCAACATGAGAGATTATCCAAAGCCCTTATCATACATAACCTACTTTAACCTAAGACACCAGCCCAGCCAAGCCAAGCCATGCCACAGCACCAACAGACTCAATCATTTTACTGCGATGCATCTTTCCAAGAACCATTGGATGGCTCATAGAGGACCTGGGTAAAGCTCCACCCAAGTGAATCACTGGTAGGAAATCCAACCGATCACAAACGAAAATGGAGGTCTCAAATCTTCTAATCAAATTCTCCTTCCCCTTTTACAAAAAGATCAAATATTAGTACTTAATAGAGAGAGTTTCTACAACAACATACATAAACAATTTTCTTGAATATGTACCTGGATTCGAGCCCAAGTAAGTTCACAGATTTTCTTCGATGATTCACTGTTCACAACCACACCCCAATGGTAGTTTTGAAGGATTTTTTTGATCCTCAGAGCAGCTGCTGAAGTTGTGAAGTTGACGAAAGCATATCCCAAGTTATTCTCTGTCCTGTATAGCATTCAAATCAAAATACTTGTATTAATTTTTTTTCATAATTTCTTTCACAGTTTCACTAGTAAAGAAATTTTTAATTACCTGAAGTCCATTGGTAAGTACAAGAAATCATACTCCAAAGAGTGGTCTCGGCAGCACCAGTCAAGAAAATCCATTAAATCATCTCTCCTGATAATTTTTACACCAAAAGTGTTTATAAATGTCATTTACAGTATATATACTCCAGGAACATTTCTTAAGGAATCTCACATTAATATGTAATCATGCGCCTTGAATGGATTAATGGGAGCAGAATGATAAAAATTCCAATCCTAAAGACAAGCAGCCTCGGAGAAAGACTGGATCTGGTAACTCTTGTGGCACACAGGCACACATCAGAGTTGTAGATATCAAAAGAACAGATGGGATTTAATTCTTTAATGTTAAACCTCCAAAGAAGAATCATTGGAACATACTTATAAGCAAATAATTTATTTACATAATGCAATGAAGAAGATGAAAAATAAGAGCACCTCATCTGATTTGGAATGTTCTTAATCATGATAGTAGTTTTCTCAGAGGGAAAGATATCCAAAGGAGATGTGGGTGAAGATACTGGCTCCTTGGGCCTCCACTCCAATCTATCGCCGACAATCTTCACCGGCCGAAACCTTTTTTTCCTCCTTTTTACTCCATTGGCACAGTTACTGTTTGAACTTCTTACAATCCTTGGACTTTCAACAATCTTGAAACCATTTTCCTCCTTTTTCATTTCAACCAAAGAACCGCCGGTTTCGCTGTAGAAATGCACATCCGGCAGAAATGGGATGAAAGGAGAGGGGCGACGAAAAGGCTGAGGCTGGGAGTTTATATCGTACACGATATCAAACTGGTAGCTCGCTAGTAATGGTAGGTGATAATAAGGAAGCTGCACAGAGTAGGTTAGCATCAGTGGACATGAAGATTGTTGGGAATGATGAAATGAAGATTGTTTCTGGGTTTTCGAGGGTATCCATTCCTCAGCCAGGGGATTCAAAAAAGGAGAAGCCATGGAAGGCTTGAAGCACATTCAAGAACAAGGCAAGACTAGTATCGTACTGCGCTATATATATACACATATATACACGACAAAATTTTAACGTGATTATAAGTAAATCCAAACAAGCACTTAGCTTTCATTAAATGAGATGTCCAAATCGTGAAAGCTTTGGCGGCGGATGTGTATATATGCTGCAGCTTTTCTGGGTACAAACTGAGGTTTTGGCTGATTGGCTATGGCTATGGCTATGGCTATGGCTATGCTAAGCTTACCTCTAGTAAAATTTCATCAGCATTCTACTAATCATTCACATTAATTGAGTTATTGAATGAATTACCATATAAAAACTTCAATAATACATTTAAAGAAAAAAAAAATTAATTAGCATGAAGTTTGCATATTTTTTACCAGAAGGCAATAAAGAAAAAAAAAATCAAAATTTTATTGTTGGACATGTCCACTACAAATTTTTATTCCATTCTCGCATATTTGGCCTCGGCTAGAAAAAGTACTTTTAAGTAACTGTTTCTTTAAAAGAATTCAACTTACTTAAAAGTAACTTCGTTTTACAACTTGTAATTCGAAAACTTATTTATTGCTTGTTTGGTATGGATTTTTGGGAGAAGAATTGATTTTGAATAGTGATATGATGGGAAATGTGTGGTTGAAAAAGAAGAAAAAGTTATTGATGTGATGAAAAATATTATTTTATTGAAAAATGTGTTGGGAATTTACTTAACATGCACAGCGGAAATTAAACAATTTTCAATTCCGAAACGAGGATCTGCAATGTGTTTAGATAGAAACTGTGATGAGNACATGGCATATATGTAAAGATTAATAATTTGATATATGAGGCAATAAAAAACTATCATATTAATGCATCAAATCACTAACTGTCACATTATACCGCGTATGGCGACTATAGTTGTGAGCGACTACAAATAACATTACTCCACCCTGGCTCCTGGGAGGCATATCCTGCGATTTACCTCCTCCACAATGGTCCAGGGCAGGGTCGGTGGGGGCCCTCAAGGTTGGGGTTCAACCTTTTTTAATAATTACCATGGAAGATCAAGAAATCACCGTACCCTAATTTTGTGGATATATATATATTTAGAAAATGGAAAAAACAAAGATAGCATTTAATGCAGAGACAAATCGTGCATATTTTCCTGTTCTATAGCATGCCCAGCAACTGAGAGTACCATGATATCCCCCAAAACCTGGAAAAAAACGACAAATTTTGTTCCTATCTTTTTTAATACATAAAAACATGCACTGTGCATAAAGATTTTATCAGTTTCTTCTGTCGATTGAACCTTGCAAAACTCCCATTTTCTTGTTGTAGCTATTCAGCAGAATTCCTTTTGTTGCTTTTGTTTAAAGGTTTGACCCTTGCCTGCAAGCATTGTGCTTCCTCATGAATCACTGGTAGTCTGAGTTTATTGATCTTAGAGGGTTGACCATTTCCATTTTCAGCTTAATCTTGATAGCCATGTCTGGAAAAATATATCCTTGGCCCCTCCTGTTGAAATTACACAAGTTTCGAGTTATATATAGACAAAGCTACGAAACAGTTGTAATCTGTTCAACTTAGAACAATAATTAGGACTTTCTTGACACTTTCTCATGTAGAAAAGTCATAAAATAAGGAATGGAAAGACGTCGGGACGAAATTAGGGAACGAGGCGTAATTACCTTTTGAAAGGCATGATTCACGGGCAGCACAGATTTTTGGCCACTTTAGCCTTGCTCCTCGTGGCCGAGGCCAACTAGCCGTTAGGCTAATTCCTAGTTAAAATCTTTGACGATTTTTGGTGTCTTTTCATCGTACTATGTGTATTTTCGTTCAAAAGGTGTTGGTTTATCCTCTTGTTCTTTCGACTTTAAGAAGCGAACCCTTGGACCAGGTAGAAAAGGCGACGTGAAGACATCAATGGACGGAAAAATGTTTTATTAAGAAGACTAAATGTTGGCAAGGAGCTTAGCCTTTTTCATCAAAAATTTCATAGGAGTTAAGAGGAGGAACCAGACTTCCCAGGTCCATCCGTCCATGTTACTACAATTAGCCTCTTCCATCGACTATTGTCTCTCTCTTTCCTGTTAGTTAGGAAAATTCCCATTTTAGGAATCAGAACTGAAACAAGAAATCAGGATGGGGCATAACAGGATTTCACATGCAGAAGAGCCGAATTTGAATTAAATTTTAAAGGTTGAACCCTGCCCCTCCCCTCCAGTATTGTGGAGGAAATAAATCGCAAGATGTGTCTTAACAGATCAGGGTACAAGAGCTGTCACATTGATACCCACAAAAAGTCTAATTTCATACCTTGTAAGAGGCAGGAATCGAATCATCACACTGCAGCTGTCAGCTCAGCTGAAATTATCTCACTCATATCCTTTGCACCACTGAACTATGCACCACTTTGAATTCAATTTTAAAGAAAATACTAATGGGGAGGCCGAAAAGCAGAAGGATTAACATCTCTAATCAAATGCAATACTCCTCATTATCAAAACCCACTCAAAAAATTTTGTTGTTCTTCGATTTATTTTTTAGGTTTTCAGTTTTTACTTGGTGATTAACTTTCAAAACTTGTCTAATCCTAGAATTGGTGTATCCCATAAGTAATCTCAATAATGGGACAAATATAGTTTTAGGACAACGTTTTTATGTGTTTAAATCTTGGTTTTTTGAGATGTTCTTCATTCAAGTGTAGTTTCTTCTTCATCTCCTCTCATCATGTTTAGGGTTAAAGAAAAACCATCGAGCCCTAGACATAAAAATGGTTAACTTGTGAATCGATATCGAACCCGCTTCCTCGAGCGCTGTATTTTAATTGATATGTTCATCATTTAAAATAGAGAGCAAGAGTTCAGATCAAATTTTAATTAGATAGTAATTTTAGTCAATAAATTTTTTTTATTTAAAAATAGAATAAATCCCTTAAAAAGCATTTGTTTGGAGTGGAATTATCTTTCTTTTGATTTTTTAAAAAACAATCCCAAACAATGGCTTGTAAGCAATGCTAGAAGTGGAATTATCTTTCTTTTGATTTATTCTTCTTGAGGAACCAACAGTTATATCTCGAGTTCCAAGAACCTAATTGGGGACCCAAACGTTTTCCAAAAAAGGCACAAACAGACGCCCAAAAGCATGTATTTTTCTCACCGATTGTCTCCACAATCATTTTGTCCATTTTGGATAATTAATTTTATGCAAAGTAATTTTTTGAGAATGTCAGATTAAAAAATAAGAAAAATTTATGTTCATGTAAAGAATTGAAAAATGAGTTTAAATTCTTATTTGGTATCTATTATTTTCAAAATACATTTATTATATGTAAATTTAAAACTTTTTCTTATTTTTTAAACATGCATTTCCATCAAATCATTATTCTAAAAATGCATTTTATGCAAAAAAAAAAAAGAGCCGAAGAAGAACTTCAACTTTAATTATTGTACCATAAAGCATTTCTAACATTCAGAATTTTTTTTCTCAAGTTCTTAAAAAAAATCTTAAAACAAGAGGTGTGAAATGGTTGTCTCAATTTTGTCGGTGGTGAAATATGATTGGGTCGAAATTTATTCAATAAAATAAAAAAAAAATCCTCCATTTCTTTTTCACACTTTATCTGTATGTAGATCATCATATAATTTTATGCATACAAGTAGTATTATTTATTTTTTTACTACCATATCTTAAAATATAGAGCATGTTTGGAGAAACTTAAAATTCTATTAAAATTGAAAATATAGCGTTATTGAGTTTCACCCGTCTAATAAAAGTTAACAATAACGGCTAATTTTTCAATTTTAATCTGATTTTAATCCCCACCGAACACGCCCATAGTACTGAAGTATATAATTTAAAAAAACGCGATATGTAAAAGTATAAATACATCATAAACAAATGGTGCATTTTATAAATTTCTCCCAAAAAAAAAAAAGAACTGTGATAAAATTGATAGCTAGGTTGAGGTAATGTATGTATGCATAATGATCATGTTTTGCTACTTGAGATAAGGTGTAAGAACAATCAAAAGATATGCACAACAGGGATAAGATATTGATGTGATGTTTATTCATGTATGAAAATGATATTTTATTATTGGACTGTTTAAAATACTGTCAACTTTTACATCAAATCATATTTTGTCAACACTTACTATTTCAGAGCATCAGTCAATATTTTTCTGTCAAAGTGACATAAGTCACATAACCCATGTTTTATTAAGAACACAAAATGTTAACAAGGAGCTTAGCCTTTTTCTTCAAAAGTTTCATAGGAGTTAAGAGGAGGAAGTCAAGACTTCCCAATCCCAGGTCCATGCTACTACAATTAGCCTCAATCATTATATAGGGTATGGTGCTATAGTACTACTTAATAATAATGAAAAAATACTGACTGAGGAAGTAGCAAGAAAGTTTCACAGTAGTAGCCTAGCCTGCATCAGCTAAGTTCAATATTCAAGTAAACCTTTATAATCATACAACATGGGTAAATTTCGTCCAGTGATTTATAAGACATGTGAAGAATACATATAGCCAGTGTAAAATGTAGATTAGAATCAAATGAATAGTAAAATTTGATAAAAGTTGTGTGTGGATTAAATTATTTGACAATTTTAACTTGAGATTTTTATCAACTTTAATCTACATCAAACAGCTTAGCCTCGGTTTGGTGGGTGATTAAAATAATATATTTAGTAGATTTTAATAGAAGTTGATGAAATGCGTGATCGAAAAGTTGTGGGACCTATAAAATAAGTAGTTAAAATGAATTGCTAACTTTGACTTAAATTAAAATCTAAATTTTAATTGAGACTAAAAGAGGGCTTCATGCAAGTTGAACGGCCTTTAGTTATACATCATCTGTTAGGGTCCGTTTGATTGCAAATGTGGAAAATTGGTAGAAAAAAATGTTTTACAGGGAATTGAATTGCCTATAAATTGTTTTATTAGGAATTGTAATTAATTGTATTTGATTGGTATAATTTTTCATTTGA